TTGCATATTTCATACATCTGAGACTCAAGAAGCAAATGTAATGATTTAGAAGGTGGTAGAGCCACAGCGAGGTCATGGTTGTGTTGGGGTGCTTTTGCCAGGTTTGGGGATTTTGATCACCTGTACATGTGGTGGAACTGATTTTGCTAGAACACTGCATCTCACTGCTTTTAGGTTAGTGACCTTTTATTTCAATGTACTAAGTGAAAACAAGATGCAGTACTTGTTTAGCTTTGACTTACTGACTTTCAGGCCTTTTTTGTTTGAAAGGTCTTAAAGTTTTTGGGTTTTTTTCCCCCAAGCCCCAGTGATGTACGGTTTTTGTAAGGAAACTTTTTCTACAGTATTTCCTTAGTGTTGCTGAAGCATGTAGTTAAATGACAGCGCAGTGAATGTTTTGAACTTTAAGGACTCTGTGTTCATTCTGTTTACTCTTCTGGAGACCAACCATAGATTAAACTAAGCAGGGGAGAATTCTTGCTGAGCTTGTTTTTGCTTCCTGGACGCAGCAGCATGTGCTTTTCCAGCCGCAGCTTTTCTCTTTTTAGTAGGTTCTAACTGAATGTGGCTTCAGTAGGGCAAATGCTGGGCCAGGCTCCGTGGTGGAGTGAGAGCCCCGTGCAGGAGAGCGCACACAGAATGAGTCCTTCCCGTGTGTCACTTGCTGACCCGTTTTCAGGGGGGACTTGGGAGTACATGGAGCTTGAGGCTTGGGTCTTGCGCGAAAGAGTGGCAAAAAGACAAGTGGGGAGGAAAATAGGTGCTCTTTTTAACAGATGAACCCGTGGCCTTGCTTTCTAATGGGGAAATTTTATTTTTTTAAAAGCCCTAATCTGCCCAGTTTGGACAGGGAGAACTGAGCTTTGGCTCTCTCACAAGTGGGCCAGCATGGGTACTCGGACCCTTGTCACTGGAGTGTGGGAAAGGAACTTCTCATCTCCTGTCTGTGAGTGTGATGTGTTGGCTATGGAGGCTCTGGTAGCCAACAAACAAAATATTAAGATATAACATGGGTAAAATTTGTAATTTTGTCACCAGCTGTATTTGCATTTTGAAAAATTATTTATTCAGGGAATGCTGCGATGCTGAGGAGATTCCAGTACAAGCAGGTAACTGCCTGGAAGAATAACCTGAAAAACTTTGGCTTCCTGTTCCAATGTGTCCAGTTAAGATCCACCCCAGTAGTGGGGTCGGGAGTGAGCGTGCAGAAACACCGTCAGGCACCACAGGGGCAGTGGCCCAGAACCCTGCAGAGGGGCACAATGCAGAGACATCTAAACCCACCTCCGTGTAGATATACCACGGTACAGCGGTGTGTTTGTGCACCTCTAGTCCTTCCAGCTTCCACTCGAGCTGAGTGACTGCAGTCAGTAGAGGACGTTCCCAGGTGAGCACAGCAGCTGTCCCTGCTGCTTTCTGCCTGCTCCAGATGTGCAGCTTCCAGGAAGCTCATCCCTTGGCAGCTGTTGAACCAAAAGCATAACTACAGGCAGAGCATGGTTTTATTTGCAGCTTTATAGCTTCACCAGCACTGTTTCTCAGCATTATGTAGGTTGGAGCTGAATGTAGGAGGTTTTTTTGTGCACTGACAGTTGCAAATACGCTATTGCCATACATGGGAAGCAGGAAATAATGATTCATTGTTTGACACAGCAGTCAAAAACTCTATGCTCAGAAAAAAACAGCAGGAAGGATTGCAGTGGTACACGATCATATGTAAACAAGTGAAACTGTGTCTTGGCACAGATGACATGTTTAAAACTGAATTCTAAGCAAAGAAGTACCAGTGGCACCAGTGCGCTCTGCAACTGGGAAACATGCTGCCTGCCACAGGATGCAAATGTCAAAGATAGGGGTCCAAAACTTCCTTAAAAAAATAATAAAATTTAAACTTACCCAGGCTACTACGCAGCTTGCTGGAGGAGTGTCCAAGGAAAGAACACAATAGGAGTGAGAGAGGTGTGTGCTCTGGCCAGGGCTGGATCCAGCTCCTGAGCTGGGCCCCCTCCAGCCCTTCCTAAGAAAACGTGGCAGCAGCTGCCTGTGCCTCAGTGTCCTGGCTGGGCAGCATGCTCCCATACCCACTGGGTCCTGCTCATGTCGCTCCACTTCGAAAAAAATGCTTGGGTAATTTAAAATCAGTTATTGGTTCTGAGCCACAAGAAACCTGCTTATCAGTTCTCCCAGTTGCTCCCTCCAACAAAGGTGGTGTTTCTGCGTTTCTAAATCACGTGTGAGTGCAAATGCTGTCTCTATCAATCTTTATGCTGCCAATAACTTATGTGCAGGGAAGGAGTGAGCTGACCTAAGTGCTCTTGTGGTCTTCTGCATGTGAGTCACTCACTGGTGGCTGCTAGAGGCAAGTATTTTGGTAGTAGCCAGGAGGCCAGAATTGTCAGAAAAAGGAGTAACGGCCTTAAAATAATAATGGTGATGCAGTACTCATCACATGCAGGTCTGTCCCATTCTGGATACCACCCGGAATCACCTATGAACAAAACAAGTTATTTGTTTTCAAGTAAAACTGCACCAAGGGCAACAAATAGAAGCAGTAATTCTGGTGGTACTTACTAATGACTTTGTCACGCTCTGCATTTTCTGGAGAGAGAAAAGAAATTAATATAAGCAGACTTAGTCGTTATAAACAATTTGAGTCTAAGCAAAAGGGAATAAACTCTGAGCCTCACCATGTACTCACAAATACATCTATGAGAGCTGTGTGTTTCCAGGAAGAAGCAAAGACCTGTTCACCAAGAGAGCCTGACAGCAACTCTTGGGGCTTTGCTGCGGAGCACTTGGGCACACTGTGTTAGCTTCCCCTCCCACCAGTGGCTGGCATAGAGAGTACTTGCTCCCCCAGGCATGCTTCCGAAAATCACTTTGGCTTTTGCATTTTGTCTTGTGTTTAAGATCCTCAGCCTGTAGCTAACATCAAACAGTTCTGTGCATCAGGGACTCCCTCTCATTCCTCCAGTGCTGGTGTTGTAGTGCCACCTTCCTGCTCTGTTAGTTAACCTGTGCTGGGGAAAGGTGTGGCTGAGTCCTCTCTCCACAGGCAGATGTCCTCAGCACAGTGCCTTGTCCTTCTCACAGGAGTTGCAGAAGGTCTCCTCCCCGCCTGAGTCAATCCAGCCGTTCCAAAGCCAAGCACAGGAGAATCAGGTGGGCTGCCAGAGGCTCAGACCGAGCTCTGCATCCCCGTGAAGGGCTCTCTCGTGTCAGCCTGGCTCTCTCCTGGTGCTTAAGGGAAAGCAGATGGCCTGGCTGATGTTCACTGGAGCGAGCAGCTTTGGCAGTGTTGTGGCAGCTCTTCCCCCCAGCAGCGGCATGGTGGGGGCAAGGCTGGCTTGGACCTGCACTGGTTCAAGCCACAGCTCATGCACCAGGTAATAATCTGGAGGCCCCAGGAGGAGATGTGTATCCCCTTTTGTTTTTCCCATTTCTACAAGCAGTAACTTGTGGCAGGGGGAATAAACACCTTAAACTGCAGCCGCTATGTCTCCTGTATCATACCCTCTAGCACCTGAAGAGCAGACCACATCTCGTCACTCCCCAGGGTAGAAAACAGGCTCTTTCCGCCCTCTT